CGGGGCGGGGCGGGGCGGGGCGGGCTGTCCAGATGAGTTGTGCCGTGCGGTGGGTTATAGGCATGACAGGCCAGGGCGGCTGTCACGCCGGCCGGGACGGACAGGGTAGCGCCAGGAAGGCGGGGCGTCGTGTGGTGCTGCGGACTACCGGGAACACGACGACCGCCTGGACGGCCGGCAAGACATGCATCGCTGAAGAGCCCGGCCGACGCGGCTGCGCATAAAAGAATAGAATAATATACTCTGCGTGGCATTTCTTCCCTGCCAGGTGTGCGACAGACGGGAGAGAAAAAAATGTGAGAGAGAGAGTGGGGAGCGACGCCGGAGCGCAGTGAAGCTGACCTGGTGTCTGCCCCCGGACGTACCGCTATATGTTGTCTCTGCGCGAAACGGTTTGCGCGCGAGCCGAAAGAAAATACCAAAAAAACAAACAAACAACTTTTCAATTCAGTCGGGAAAAGAGTCTGAGTCAATATGTGTGATGGGCAGTCGGGATGGATCGCTCGTGCAAATACCCCTCGCGGTTGGGCCGTTGTTTTGTCCGTGGTTCCGGTATTGCGTAGCAGGTTTGGTTTGCACTCCAAGTTCAAGTAGCGTCGCGTAGTGAGCAGCCTGTTTGGCAGCGGCAGCCCATTCATGCCGAGCTGCCGTGTGTGGTCAGAGAGTTCGACGTCCTCGACGCGCGGCGAACTCTTTCGCGGTCGGCGCTTTGTTTCGCCATGTTTCACACAGGTAAAGGCTAATATCTTGCGATGCTTGGGATACGATTGATTTTAATTATCGATCAGGCTCAGGAGAAGTAGTTGGCAATGCACATATTTTGAAGAAGCTATTTTATTTCTCTAATTTTCTTTCACGGGATGCAGTTTGGAAAATAGTGATGTTTTTCACGTACTTCCTAGAATCAAATTTGAGTGTGGCATTCTCCGTCGAAACCGGTGCGTTTGCCGGGAAGGTCCCCACCCCCACCGAACCAAAACAGGCGGAGCCTCTCTCTCCCGCGCGCGGATCTTTCCGCGTTGGTGTATTCGGCACCAGAGCAGCACCAGGAAGAGTCGGATCTTCCCCTCTGCGCCCCCGCGCCTCTCTCTCTCCTCTTAGCCTCCGGACCGGACCGACGCGCCGTGCCACACTCACCCTTACTTGATGAATCGGTTCGCGAATAATAACAAATGAGGCGGCGTTCACTCAAAACTCGCACTCGCGTTTCCTGATCGCGGGAAATTCAGAGTATGATGGGACCGTTTGTAGATGGCAGCGGCAGTCCTGCGATACATAACACATTCGTCATCCGTAGACAGCCGAGCAGGCAGAAGTCAAGTGGATGTGTACACACATTGTTCGTCAGTTTCATGAGTCTATTTTTGGCACGGTTGCGTGCAAACTAAGACAAATGGGGTATTTATGAGACGACGATTACTTTGTGAAACCACTCGAGAGCGCTATAACAATTTTCTTTCTTCTTTATATTCGCTGTCAAAGAATAGCCTGCTCTGTATGCATCCAGCGTCAGCGCAAAAATACTAGAGACACGAAAAATAAAAAGACAGGCGAGCTTTTACCATACCCGTCGCGCTTCTCGCCCGGCAGGCGAAATTGGGCTGGGAATATAAGCTTCCACGCCCAGCCCATTTGCCTCTCCTCTTTGCGTCTAGACACGTGCGGGTGCAAGGTGCATGGGTGACCGCTCGAGGCTGCTTGAGAAATAGAACCTACATGGCTTTGATGTGGCTGTATTATCCTAAAGGAGCAAATCGCTCTAGATGCTCGAGCACGTTTTTCTTCACTGAAAATAAACGGAGAATGCAACTGGTAAACATTTCAAGCTGCTCACTAGCTATGGTGCTCACCGGTGATATCACACACCCATGCACTCACCACGTAGGCATCATTCGCCATTACAAATCTGCCAAGTTCAACCCCTGCAAGCTCTCAAACCGCCTGATAGGTAGACAACATCTTGCCCGCAGTGCATGTGTGTACTGCGGGCTGGCCTACCCCGAGTCTCGCAGGCGCTGAGTAGCCAAATGAATCTGAGAAAAACAGACGGACAATCCCGTATCTGGATGCATCCGAAGAGAAGTGACAAATGCAGATGCCGTAACGCAGCGACGCTGACCGGGGGGGAGGGGCAGAGAGGTAGACACGGAGTGAACAGCCGCCCGCCTAAGTGCGTCTCAGTTCCCCGGTAATAGTGTCTTTGTGCTAATGCGTGCCGCTCCGCCGCCTTGTTGCAGGTGGGGGAGATCCTGGCTCTGCTGGGGCTGGACACCCACGCCGAGACCCACTCGGGCCGCCTGTCGGGCGGCCAGAGGAAGAGGCTGTCCATCGCCCTGGAGCTGCTCAGCAACCCGCCCATCATCTTCCTGGACGAGCCCACCACGTAAGTGTAAACCTGCGTCGTGAGGCGATGTTATTTACCTGGGCCCCCACAGTCAGCTGCAGCAGCTGCAGTCGCGCGGCCCGGGACGACTCCGGCAGCTAGCGGCCGCGGGCGCGCGTGTAAGTGACGTAAATGTGACGTCATTTGGGGGGGAGGGGAGGTGAGGGAGCGCAGCGTTGCTGGTCCGTGGGTGGGGAAGGTTGAGGCGGGGCGGCGGCGGGCGCAAGTCTGCACGATCTCGTCAAGCCGGTCCAGCGCGCCACGCGGCCGCCAGGGCCAAGTTCACTGCCAGCGCGCTGTTACAGGTATGCGCGCCGGCCCGGCCACCTCTGGAGCGAGCTCCGGGGCCGCCTGCACTCGTCGCTCCTCCGGCGGGGCGGCCGCAGCCTCTGGCACGCGCCGCCGGCCGCGCCTCGAGCCCCGCGCCGCAGCACCGCGTCGACCGAAAAAAATAACAAACAAAAAACTGGAGATAAAGCGGCAGAGGGGAAAATTATTTAAGAAATAAAGAAAGTCGTGTGTTAGCTGATCGTCATTAGCTAACAGAGGGTGTCTGCTGGCGCGCGCGCCTCCCTTAAGCGTGGAGGGCGAGTGTGGGAGTGTGGCACTTGAAAAGGTAGGGTGATAAGCTCTGGGCGGGGCGGGGCGGGGCGGGCCGTGCTGTAGTTCTCCATTAGAAGGCCGCACACACGACGCGTGTTCTGGTCATGGCGGAAGTGTCGTCTTGTTTGTGTTTGTCGCGCTGCGGATGACGGGGGCCCCCGGGCCCCGGGCCTGCAAAGGTGGGCGCCGGCGATCCCAGCCGTCCGGTTCAGATCAACTTGGACACCAGAACGGGACCGGCCGGCGACCGCGGACCCGCCCGGGCCGCAGGAAGCTGCTGCCCCCCCCCCCCCTCTCGGTCGTCGTCGTACACGGTTCAACGAGATGCCCGTCTCAAGGCTGGCGGGGGCCGAAGTGTTTCGACATCGCCACCACATCACTCTGATTACTATTACATACGTCTCTAAGTGGGGAGCAGCGCGTAGCGGGTACCCAGGGGGCAGCGGGTACCACGGCCGGCGCGGAGGGCAGGTCAGGGGCGGGCAGCCCGCGTCAGCTAGGCATCAGCCGCATCGGTCCGTGGGTCCGCGCCGCCCGGCCCCGGGCCAGTGCAACATTGACCTAGGAAGCGTGACTGCATGCACTGCAGGCGGGGCGGGACTGGACGCGGCAAGGCGACGACAAACGCTATGATGCCTCATGCGGCCGCACCGACGGCATTGAACGGATTTTGGACTCGAGTGGGCAGCGCCGTGCTGCGCCTGGCTGCGCCCTCGGCCGCTCCGCGCCTCGCCTCGCGTGCCGGTTGAATGCCGATGGAATGATGAGGAGGCGTGAGGAGAGCCTCCTCCCATGCTGGCCTTCCCCCCGAGGGCGTCCCCCCGTTGTTATTATGGTATTTGGTCGTGTGGCACAGCGAGCCTCACAAAGCCCTTTCTCGACCGCCCCTGGGTTCAATTTTGAACACGTTCGCGAACACGCCCCCAAGCCCGAACTTTATACCGAACAACCGGTAACGATCCGGTGAGGCTAGGTGCGGCCGGGAGCGTTGCCCGCTGCGAGTCGAATGTGCTGCCTACCGTCCCGGCGCCTCCTCTCCTGCCGAGTCTCCTCCTCCTGTGCCTGTCTGACCATGGTCTTCCCTCTCCTGTCTGCGCAGCGGGCTGGACTCGTCCTCTACGACGCAGTGCGTGTCGCTGCTCAAGAGCCTGGCGGCCGAGGGCCGCACCGTGGTCTGCACCATCCACCAGCCGTCCGCGCTGCTCTTCGAGATGTTCGACCAGCTGTACGCCGTGGCGGCGGGCCACAACGTGTACCAGGGCGACACCAAGGGCCTCGTGCCCTTCCTCGCCCAGCAGGGGCTACCCTGCCCAGCCTACCACAACCCGGCTGACTTCAGTAAGTGGCACTTATTCCCATTATTATTATTATTTTCATAATAAGAATTAAAGGACCATTACTTATCTCCTATTCTGTCTCTTTTCACTTTAGTGATGGAAGTATCAACGGGTGATTTTGGCGTGACTGTTAACGCTCTTGCCGATGCTGCAGCAAAGAACGCCAACAGGCAACCAGTTGTCCTTCCTGGTGAGTTACTAAATTTACTCTTCTTTTCTGACGTTCTGATCATATATACCTATGAGAGACAATATTAACATAAAATGTTTCTGTGAATTTTTGTTAGTTATTGTTTCTGACTCTCTTGCAGATGCCACTTTGATGGATGACATAATTTGTGAGGCGCCTCCCGCACCACTTTATATGCAATTCTATCTGCTTTTAATGAGAAACATTGTCATAATGAGACGTGATGTGGTGAGTTTATAACTGCTCGCTCTTTATCAAAACTCAATTTTTACGAGTGAATTGTTTTACAAATTTCTTCTTTTGTTTCAGAGTGCACTTGCCCTCAGAGTCTTTATGCATGTCTTCATTGGACTTATATTTGGATACCTGTACCGTGGAGTTGGCACCTATGCAAATGATGTACTTGCTAATGTAGTGTACTTGTATGGATCATGTTTATTCTTGGTGTATACTGGTCAGATGGCTGTCACATTAGCTTGTAAGTAGTAACACATGTTACCTAAATTTTATTTCTTATTTTCTGTTTTGTAATTTTATTAATATTATATTGTCTTAAATTTTTAGTTCCGCTGGAAGTGGAAATACTAACCAGAGAACACTTCAACCGCTGGTATAAACTGGGACCATACTTGATGTCTACTCTGTTGATTGAGTTACCAATTCAGGTTTGTTCATCATCAGATTTTGACTCAGTCGCATCTTTTAGACTCAATTTACTATGCATGAATTTTCCTCCAACAGGCTGTTTTATGCGCAACCTACCTGGCTCCATCAATAGTATTGACGGGGCAGCCACTTGATCTTTTCAGGATAATCCACTTTTACTCATTTGCAACTTTAGCATCTTTGACTGCGCAGAGTTGTGGATTCCTCTTTGGTGCTACAGTGCCAATAACAGTAAGCCTTTACAAATTAAATATCCTTTCAAAGTTTCATAAAGTTTCTTAGAAGTTATTATGACTTAATCTAATCTTTACAAGTTTATAAAAATTATGGTGTTGTTTTTCTTTACAGATATCTGTTTTCCTTGGCCCAGTATTTGCTGTTGTTCTTTCCATTTTTGGATTTTGTATTTGGTACCGAGATATTCCTAACTTTTTTATGTGGATATACCACATATCTTACTTCAGAGCAGCTTTCCAGGGATGTGTATATGCTATGTATGCATATGGGCGCTCTGCAATGCCTTGCGATAATAGAATGAAAGCACATGCAGGGGGAATAAATTACTGCCATTACAAAGCTCCACGAAAAATCCTCAATGAAATGGATATTGCTGATGTCAGCTTTTGGACTAATACAGCAAGTATTGTTGTATTCTGTTTAATTGTATATATAATAACAATCTTCGTAATTTGGTTCAGACTAAACAGACGTTAATTTAGGTTCATTTTATTTTGGTATAAATGTGACATAATGTGATATGTGGGCCATGGTGCTTTAAATATTAGGGAATTAGGTTTAATTTCTTCCTGTGTTAAGAACTATCTTTGAAAGACTCATCTAATGTGTACTAATTCATTAATCTTTCATAAGTAGAATTCATCCATCTCGGTGATTTTGTTTCTCAGTCCTTTCATTTGGGATGAATATACCCATAAATCAAGTAAAGTTGTAATGTTACCTATGAAGGCCATACTTCTAAAAAGTACGTAAGAAATTCAAACCATACAGATTTGCAGCAGTGTAAAACCATTATGATTGCTGAAATTACGTACTTGCCTTCCACTTTCATGCTAGAACTTTACTTTTCTATACTTTTTATCATTGTTTCCAGTTACCATTTGACTTTCTGACAAACTCTATTGAGATCAACTATAGTTGCTTTCAGCGTAGTGTCTTACTTTTCTTGCTTATGTGTGGTACATTTATTAGAAATTTTAATTTAGAACTCTCAAGGAAATAATTTTACTTTCCACCTCAGGAGGTCCAACCAACATGAAGTGATATGTCCCTGGTCAAAATTTAGTCGTCTTGACTGTTAGAAATTCCATAATGAGAGAATCATTTGGCGTCCTCGTGACCTCATTTCTGGCTGTCAAGATGACTATGTTTTTACCAGTGACGTCAATTGATGCCATTGTGACAAATTTATATCCTTTGGGACATATCTGCAATTTGTGATACTGTTAACAAGTCTTTTAGAGACTAGTCTTAATTTATTAAGCTAACACACAAAATCCCCACATACCTAGTATAGGAAAGCTTCTATTTTTCTGTACTTTTCATCAAAGCTATTTACACTATTTTTGATATTGAAAGTTATGACAATAGAGAAAAGAACGGATTTTTTGTTTTATTATTAAACCAAAATTGTGCGAGAAAATATTTGAATTTTGGGCATTAATGAAATCATTTTAATGCAGCGAGAGTTCATGCCAAAGATGCATAACAGCAGTTCATTCTCTGCATTTTGTTAGTTACAAGTTAAGCGTGATGATATTTAAATCCATCTGTCATGTTCCTATGTTACAGGCACCTCATTTCACTTAACCATTATTATAGCTCATTCACCCATTGACAAGATTTGGTGGTCATCATGAGATCACAATAGACTACATCAGTTTGATGGTGAAACAAAATTTAAATACATTTTTAGACTCTGACTTACCATTTTAATTACAATTTGATCTCATGATGCCTTCTGTTTTTCCTCCGGGAATAGTTTAGTGATGTCCAGTGATTTTTTAAATCATTTTGTAATCAATTTTTGTACATATGTATTCATTTTATTTCATGTCTTGTGTCTGTTGATGGTCTGGAACCATCATCATTGTCTTCTCTCTATTTTATTATGTTCACCGATCCATAATCTAATTTTTGCAAAATTTAACAATAGAAGTGTTTGGCAAGACTTCAGATTTAAATGTTTCAAATATTTGCATCTTAATTTATTTCTTTTACTTTATATGCTGACAGCAAGCTTGCCAGTTTACTATTTATGTGTACCTGCCTGCTATCTGTTAGTAGTATAACACAGCTACGTTTGAGAATGTTTCTATGAACGTATGTGATGCTGAACCATTGTGATATTGGAAGCAAGCTAAGCTAGTGTGTAGATAATATTCTCTGATCTATGGAGAATGTGTCCTGTATTTTATTCATACTTTTGTATTTATTGTAAACAGAAGTGCTGCAATTTTTTTTTCAGTTATTTTGTCCTTGAGTGCACTTTGTGTGCACAATGAATTTGTATTAAATGATTTTTTTCATCTACCACCAGCATTTTGTTTTCCACAATATACCAGACTTCCGTTTCATCAAATAAACTACCTTATAGGACATACATAGCAAAAATTAAAAAAGACTGTCGCATTTAAATTTCTTCACAATTTTATTGATTAATGTGATAAATAAAATTTTAGATGTGACCCAAACTATGCCATGTAACTTAGAAATGTAAATATCATATGACTAGACTGCAATTCCATATCCATAGCTGAACATTATTGCATCATGAAGAAGTTTGACATGCTCAATATTACCTACATTAAACAAAAATTTATCTTTGGGCTCATCTTAATATTTGTTTACTTAATGAGTTTAGATGGTTGCAGATGGTTTGCACTGTTTAGGATATTATAAGCTGGAACTCATCAAAACTACTAAACAAAAGATTTTGGCTAAAATTTCCAAGAAGAAATTTGATTTCATTTATGAAAGAATTGAGCTGTTGCACTATCTCACAACAATTCATACATGTAAAATGAATCACTTTGTTGTGAGGTACCTTTCAAGCAACATAGCATTATCAACACTAAGTAACAAATTTGACCTACATGGAACGATTACAGAATATGACTATGAATATAAAACAGTGGCGTGCAACTTTTCTTAAGGTATCAAATCTGTATGGATTTATAATGAAAAGCAGCTTCCATGAATTGAATAACAAAAAAACTTCAAAAAGGAGACACCTAGACAATAACATGTACAGTTTACTGGAATGTACTGAAAATTGACAATACCTGTGTGAAAGAAAATCAGGACACTCACTTGGACGAAGGATGACAACTGCAACTAATTCAATGGTTCACTGACACGCCACTGGACTAGAGTATAGAAATGGGCTCATTCTCAGCTTCCCATAGGACGTTGAGACATGGCCTCACAGTCATGTTCAAAAATCACTCATCAGAATCACATCTGCACTCATGACATCCAGGGCAGCCCTTGTGTATGACATGCAGTCATGTTTACTCAATAACACAATAGACACACAAATTTGACAATGGAATAAAACTTAGCACAATGACATAAATTATGTTTACTTATCAAGGTAGGTGTGAAAATGGCATTTTCATGATTTACAACACATTGCAGGAATTTTTAGAACAATAACGATTAATGATTCTTTTGAACATCAGTATACCAATAATAATTACAATTATTATTGTTATGGAACGACTTAAGCACTTGTTTTATGAACACACCTCTTGGTCGGGGCTCCCACCCCACTCTCCACCTGGAGCTGCGGGTCG